GGCTGCCTCCTAGGCTCGGCAAGCGGGGTTGAAATGATGCGGGTAGCAGGTGCTCCGGACCAGCCCGCGCACCTGGGAGGATTGGGGTGCGCGTGTCTCTGGGCGGAGGTGTAGGGGCGTGAACCGCAGGCGTCCTTCGCCGGGCGGCTTTGGGGGTGTGCGCGCTGGAGCGCGCGGAATCCAAAAGGCTTTAAACCATTTGGAGTCTCCCTGAGAGCCATTTCTTGGCTCCCCAAGGTCTGCGCCTCGCTTCCTTCTCCCGATTCTCCTCTTCTCCAGGCGCTCCCGGGCCCGTTGCTTTATCTTCTCCTCTGCTGGCCGGCTCTCGGCAGCTTCAGCCAACTGCCTTCCAGTTGCAGGTTCCTTTTCTTGGGCCAGCATTCAGGGCTCTGCTAGGAGTAGGGTTGTATCTGATGCTGTAGGCGTAGGGTTGCTGTAGGAGTAGGGTTGTATCAGATACTCCCACCAGGAGTAGGGCTGGCTGAGAAAAGAAGCTCCATTTCCTTGGGGAAGGGAGAAGGCAGCTACTTGGCATCTGCAACAGGTATGAGAGACCCCAGGATAGAAAAAAACTTCTTAAAGTTGAGTTCAGCCTTCTGGGGTTTGAGGACAAGGCCTTTCAGTTGGCTGGGAAGCAGTTTATGGTCCTTCATTGGGGATACTTTTTGACTTCCTATTCTATCTCCAGCCCTGGGGTTTCTTAGTGGTCTCCCATCCCTGTATGAACCTGACCTCACTCTGCTTAGTTTCCAAGCCTAGCCTTTTTACAGCAAAAAAGGGGATTTTCTTCCATAATCCAGAAGACTGGATCCTTGAGCTTAAATCTGCAAGGCTGTTGGCCATGCTGGCTGAGGAAGATGGGAGTTGCAGTCCAGCCAAACCTGAAGGACACTCGGGGAGGGAGGTTTGCTGTACCTGAGCTGATAAAACTGCAGTCTCCAAAAAACTGATAAAACTGCAAAACTTTGCGACTGAAGGGGCTATGCATTCACACACAGCCCAAAACTTGCTAGCTAAGATGTCTGGGAGTTGCAGTGAATAATGGCTTGTACAACCTAATGGATCCCAAACTAGCCAGATGCATTTGGGTGTTGTGAAACCTCCCCCCCCCAAATTGGGTTGCTTGGCTGGGGGGGCACAAAAAGAGGGTTTAGGAGCTACGTTCAGTTGCTCCCAATTTGATATGGGTGGACTGATATTCTGGGACATCACATCTGATCAAGTGACCTTTCTTCCTCTTACTTCACAGTGAAGCAGCCATGTTGGGTTCCTCTGCAGGATGTCAAGGGACAGGAGCACAGCCTGGAGTCCTGCCCTTTGCCCAGAGAAGAGTTTTATGCCCTCCTACCATCTCAGGAAGAGTTGCCAAAAGACAGACATGGCCCATTCTCTTTACCATTCTTGCTCTTTTCATTACCACTGCCGCGAGCAAGGAAGATCATGCCTTTTTAAATACAGTTTCTGGTACCAGCTGGCCAACTTCTAGGGTCACAATCATCTCTACTGAAAAACCCACAAACCTTGGATACACCCAACCGGGCCAACAAAGAAAGGACTCGGCTTTTACTAGATCATTTCATCGAACTGGGGTAGGTCAGATAAATGCTAGCCAGCCTCATACCCCTCCTCCTGAACATGCTGATACTCTCAGTGATAAGGGAAAAAGGACCGAAAGACCTTACTTAACATCAGCTAGTGTTAACTCAATGGGTACAAGTCTTCAGGACTTAGTTTCTCCCATTGGAACAGCTTCTCTTGGTACTACTGAGGGAGGATCAGTGTTTCTTCATTCAAGTAGTGAAGGAGTAGCCCATAGTTCTGCTGCTTCCAAGCTCTTCAAACCTCCTACCAGTATCTTACCTGGTTTCACTTCTATTCCATCTTACGTTGCAAGCTCAAGGAAGATGCTCTTTGAGCAGACTACCATGTATAATGAAGAATATGATACTGCTCAACTGGTTGCTACCAGCCCCCCTACAGGTGTCACCATTCCTGTAACTCAACACCTCTCCTCCCTTTGGGTCTCTCCTAGATACTCAGTTGAAACCATAGCTCATGTTGCTGTGCCTACTTCTATAACCTTGACAAGATTGGAGTCAGAAAAGACCACTGGTGTTTCTACTGGGCAGCAACTGGAACCTCTGAACATCCATTTTTCTTCACATGGACCCATTTCCAGAATTATTGAGTCACATGAGGTTTTTCCTCTGTCAACTGCAATTGATAGATCCCATCCTGATCCAGAGAATTCCACAACAATCCATATGGGAATAGCTGTTCCTTATGAAGAAAGTGACATAGTCCCACCTATCCATAGCTTTGTTACAGTAGTGAGTTCTTCAGGCCAACAATCCACGGCAGATTCCATCTTGCAGGGATCTCAACAACTTGAAGTCGGTTTTACGTTGCCATTGAGAAATGCCAGCATTGGTGTAGGTTTCTTGAATCATCAGACTTCAAGATCTTCACCACTTAGCACGCTGCTTTCTGGAAGTGCTAAAACTGGGTTTAGGGTTCCCCTTCTCCAGACAGGTCTGTTGGAAACTACAGCTAACACTATTGATTACAGGAAGCCATTGAAGACTGAATATCATGGAAGAAAGGGACAGACCACAGCAGGTATGAAAGAGATACCTACCTCAAAGTCTCCTTTTACTGCTGTGGAGACTGATTCAATCAGAGAACTGGCCAGTGTTCAACCAGTAGATGCTTTGCCAAAGAGGGGAACTGGAGCTACTCCATTGTCTTCAACATCGAAGGAGTCTTCTGAGCCTGAAACAATTACAGATTTCTTGGTGACAAAAGTAGTTAGTCTTGGTACTGAAAAAAATGACTCTACTCTTCCATCACTCCCATATTTAGATACGGTAGCGTTTCTACAGCCAATTAGAGCAATCTCGGCTGGAATGACACATACTGGTCTTCCAGGAGGACATACCACTAGTGCTACAGTGGAGTCTTTTGATAGTCCTTCTACTGAACAGAAACATGCCAGTCCATCACTGTCTCATGCCACAGTTTCTCTTCCAGATCTGGTAGAACTTGATAGATCGTTAGTCATGCCATCCCATGGCTCTTTATCAGCAAACTTTACATCCATTCCCTTCTCTAGAATCAGTGTTCCTGAGTCAACTTTGAAAATGTATATTAACATTACAGAGGGCTATTTGGCTAGGAAGGGGCAGATGGTGCCTAGAACTACACTGCCGTTGAGTGCCACCCAAACAGCCACACCACTTTCTCTAGAATCAAGTAATACAATGGGTGGAGTAGCACCGTTCTTACCTACAAAAGCTCCTAAAGTTGGTGTAAATACGTCTGCTGTGATGTTTGACTTGGGGAGTGAGTTGGGATACAAGGTTACAGGTACCTCCACTGCAGATGTCCTACAAAGGATTGGCACAACAGCTTTGCACATACGCAGCTCGAGATTCACCAAATCCAATAACTCTGAGGTTCCTGCACATCCATCATCTGTCCTCGAGACCAAATCCACCCAGGCAACCCCTGTGTTTTCTGCTACAACTACACTATTGACCAGTCTAAGAACTCTTCCAGTTGAGTCAAAATCTACTAAAAGAACCACTTGTGAGAACATCCCTTGCCCAGTGAGTGTCTTCACACCATCTCAGAGTACATCGGGTCAAGTCATTACATCCTCACCATTCTTGACTAGAAAGTTTTTGATTACTATCTTGGGGACAGTGGATCCCAATAAGAATGTGACCCCTGCTGCTCTTGATGCCAGGGTGTCCAGGTCAGAAGAGATAGAGACAACTGTGTTACCCAGAACAAAAACCGTGACTGGAGTCCAACATGATCACGCTTCACAACAGCCCAGGTCCAAATTCACAACTCCACTGTTGAACCAGTCAGTGAAGAAGAATTTGATCCTAAGTAAACCCATCTCACCTGTTCCAACAGTGCATACTCTATCTTTGTGGTTTCGTCTCATCAAAATACAATATAAACACTCCTTGAAGAACAGGTCTTCTAAAAGCTACATGAAACTGGAAAAAGAAATTAAGTTAACAGTAAGCATTTTCTTCCTTCTCTTCCCTTCCCTTCCTGGAAGCTTTCTTTTTTTTTTAATGAATATAATCCCATTTTGATATTGCTAGGGTATTCCTCCATTGATTCAGTCTACAGTGCTTCTGTAGTTCTTTAGTGACACTCAGTCAATTGGAAGAAAACAAAGGACTCGCTGGGAGAGGCGAGTCTTTCTATATTGTATAGCGTAACCAGGTACAACTGAGAGCTCTGGATGGCAAAGATCAAAAAAAGGGTTTTCAAAAGGCTAAAGCTTCTGACCTTAAAGGCTTAGCTTTAAAGATATTAAAGAGCATCAGAGAGATTGCAGGAACAGATAAGCAGTCCTCTGCAACATTGCTCCTCAGTCTAACTTAGGTAGATTGAGGTAGGTGACATAACTATCCTCTGGATTTTAATCAGATTACAACTCCCAATGTTCTTAACCATTGGAGATGTTGCCTAGCACTGTAAGGAACTAGAGTTGGGGAACATCTGGAGAGTCACATGTTCTCAATCACCAATCTAGATAGCATTGATCTATGGATGAAACTGTATCCATAATTTCTTCATGGGCAAGGAGGCAGGCCATAATGTGAAGGTACTGGGTACCCAATTGGATCATTGATCTGCTAATATGTTATTGCAGAGGGTGATCTTTGCTATACCTGAAATCCATCAAGAAAAGTTGCCGGAAGTTGATTCTAGATCCTTCTCCTTAGGATACCTGCGGTGACTACTGAGCTAAATCTACATGAGTGAACAAATTTAGTCTCTTCTTCAGTCAGAATAATGGCTTTGCGCAACTTTTCTTACACAGAAGATGCTGTCAACAACAGTCCCCATTGTCAGAGATTGTGGGGAGATGTTTTGGCACCCAATGGGTGCCAGAACCAGTACGTTCTTTAGGATTCAAGACAATAGACATGTAGAGCAAAGAGCCCAGAAATTTAATAAAGTAATATAACTTATAGGAACATGTATACCTAAGTGCACTTTCTGCAGACAGGAACTCTGCAAAAGAGTGTAGATGGGTCCCTTGTTGTGCCAGCTGGAACGTAGCATCTTCCTGGTTAGGTCTATGCTGAAGTTTCCATCCCACCCTGACTTCTTTTGGCTTAAATATGTTTTCATGAGGGAGAGTGATCTGATTTAGCACCTGGAGATGCCTGCCAAGAACATTCCAGGGGAATTTTCTTTTCTTGGCAGGTATCGACCAATTCATCCTCCCTTTTGGAGAGCTATACATCTGTCCATAACAACGTTAAAGTTGAAATAAATAGCACAAGTCTAGGACAGCAGGTGTGTGCGCATCAAGGTCTGTACAGGATAAGGTTATTAGAAGGCAGTCTACAGAACTAGAGTGCAGGATCAAGAAAGTACTACAGTATGGGGTGATATGGGATCATATGGTGTTGATGTAAGGTACCAAGGGAAATGTGGGTCACACCACACTGTCTCCTCACCGTGTCTTGTGCAAGGAGGCTGGGAAAGGAATGGAAGGGACAGGAGACATAAATAATCAAGAGAAAGATAGTCTATTGGTAGGTTATCTTACAAATGGTATTTCAGCCCAGGTGGTGAGAAATGCATAAAGAAAGAATTCAAATCATTCAAAGGGACTCTCTTAATGAAGTTGCTATCAACGAAGGTTGGAAATTTCTCTTAATTTCCAAGTCTCTGTATTTACCCCAAGACTAGCATTAAAGAGACCTTACTGAAATTTGTAGTTCTTGCTTTCTTGATCTTGTCTATGTGGGTTTTGACATCCGGCACTGCAGTAAGGCTGGTTGTTGAGCAAGGAAAGAAATGCTGAGCAAAATAATCCATGTGGAGCTTATATTGCTAGAATCCTACATTCTTAACCTTCTGGACAAAGTGCCCCTTAACAATAAAGCTATTTTAATGTTCTGCTTCCAGTTAAACAAGATACTATCTACCTATGAGAGCTTTCTGCAAACAAAGATTCTCCATTTCTTGTGAGTATAGTGCTGAGTATATTAATTGGTTTCTAGGCAGGAAGGGACCCGTGGAATTAAGTACAGAATGGTCCCAGATGTTGGTGTGGAGATTTGATCAGGTCCCTGCACTGACTTGGGTTTCTGCAACAGGTGCCTCTGAATTGGGTCTAGCTTTGGAAGGGCAGGTAGGATAATGGCCCTTTTTTCATTGGTCCATCTAAATTGATTTTACATCTAAATAGAATTCCCCCAACTGAATGCTTAGAGCTGAAGCTCTGAATCCGTTTGCCAGACCAATTGCAGATTCAAATCAGTTGGATCATTTGAATGGGTGATTTGCATGGGAGTCAATCCATGAACCTTTTTATGGGACTGACTCTTTCTGTACTGTTTTAAACTCTAGCTCAGTGTTTTTCAAACTTGGCAACTTTAAGAGGAGTGGACTGCAACTCCCAGAGTTCCCCAGCCAGCATGCTGGCTGGGGAACTCTGCGAGTTGCAGTCCACTCCTCTTAAAGTTGCCACATTTGAAAAACACTGCCTTCTCTTAAACTTCTGACTAGGTGTGATCTCTGGCTGGTTATTTAAAGATGAAGAACCACCTCTCTGACCAGCGCCGCAGCCTGAAATGGGCTTATGAAAGGGTGTTTCCTTCATGCCCCTTCCATCTTAGTTTCTCTGGATTCACTTGGAGATCTATCTGGAAAGCACAGAAGCCCTCAGGGACTCTGGCACTGGAAACTAGCAGCTGATATCCAGGGGGCACTGCATCAATGCAGAGATAGGCTGTGGGCATCATTGTCTGCCATAGAGGTACAATGAGAAAGATGTCCCTTTAATTGTTGATCTGAGAACCTTGCTGATTTTGGACTTGTGGGTAGAGACTATGGTTATGGGTAGGTATCTAAAAAGGCAAGATGAGATGAGGCCTAGCTAGCCATTTCCCTTTCAATTAGTAGAAGGAGAATGGCTGGCTAGGGCAGTTCCCCTTAAAGTTGCCTGGTCAAGGGAAGAAAAGACAAAGGATTTACCTGTGTTAAGACTAGCCCATCATTAGTCTTGTCTCCCCATGTAGAATGAAAAATGGAGTGATCCGTGCAGAGAGTTTTCTTTCCAGAGATTTGCTCTTTTTCACAATGGCATCAATGTTTGAGACGGAACTGTAACAGCTTTGTCCAGCACCCTTCCTATGGCTGAACCTATAAGCCCTGGCTTGCTGACTGGCAATTCCTGGAGGAGTAGTTCTAACGTTCTAGGAAGGGGCTGTGTTGTGAAGGCTGGGCCACGAGGTTTGCAAGAAGTGGATGGAGATGTTCTCCTGAATTCTGTTCCATAGCAATGGATCCGTGACAGTGGAGAGCCAGGTGGTCTTCCGGGCAACGGGCCCTCTTCCCACCCCCTCTGACATCATCCGGACAATTGTGACAGAGGTTGAGCTCCGGGGAATGGATGCCTTTTTTGACTGGAGGATGGATGTGAAATCTTTGCACTCAAATGGTGAGTTGCTGAACAGTGGGCTTGGTCAAGGAACTTCCTTTGCTTACTGCAACAAGGGAGTAGCAAACTTCATTTGCTTACTGGTGTTTGTTTATTTATTTGTTTGTTAGGTTTATAGCCCTCCTTTCCCCCAGCTTAGCATTCCCTCTTGCAATTTCTCCCCACTCCCCCAACCCTGTTAGGTAGGTTGGGCTGAGAAACAGGGACTAGCCTAGAGTCCTTTGCTGGATTTCCAGAGCTGATGTGGACTTGATCCTGAATCTCCTCAATAGGAAGTCTGACATCTTAATCATTCTACCACACTGGCTGTCAACAGTGACCATCAGCCACTATTGGAATTGCTACTTGATCTCTCTTTTGAAGAGAATGGGGTTATAGGTGGGTAGCAACTCAAAATTCAGCTTCAAAGTAGAAAAAGTTGCCAGTGTTTTCAAATTCTCACTTTGTGTTAAGCCTTGGCATAGTTGAACCATGGTTTCTTGATTAAGTTATGATGGGCTTTATGTTTAATTCTAAGCCATACCAGTGGATGTACAACATGTGGTCTCTCAGATCTGGATGAATCACAACTCCTAGGAGGCCAAGCCAGCATGGTCCAAAGAATACTAGGAGATGTAATTCAGCAACATCTGGAGGGCCACATGGAGACAGCTTGGTGGCTAGGCTAACCTGAAGCCAAAACTGAAGATACATTATGGCTTGGTGCAGTGTGAGAACCCTAACCCATTCGGGTCATTCAGAGCTTGTGTTGGTAACTAGAGGAGGAAGAAGTATCTCCTTGTAGACATCCTTCCTAGAATTGTTCTCTTTCCTCTGTAGGATTCAGCTTGAAAAATCTAGAACCTGAGAACTTGGCCATATCTTTCACTCTACTGGGACTGAGGTCCACATCAGCCTTTGGTGACAAGATCCTTGGAGAACACTTGGAAAGTGTGAAAATCAAGGTAATGGAAGAAACTGAGGCCTTTGACTTCAGGTATGGAAAATCGCTTATAGAAGACAGCCCAGTGTGGATGAGTTTAGCCAATCCTGCTTGGTTAAATTAAATGGCCCAGGTAGTCACTTATTAGTGACAACTCTTTCAATTTTATTTTGTTTTTCCATGGTTTTCAAAGCAGCTTTTTAAAATTACCTGAAGGCTGTCTAATAGTCTCAGCTAATAAGAGAGCGATAAAAACTGGCCAGAAGCCATGTTCTTTAAGGCAGTTTTCTCAAACCTAGGGTCTTCTGAGGTAAGAGAATATGTATCTCCTCTCATCCCCACCTAACACATCTAGGGACCCCAGGTTGGAAAAAGCTGATTTAAAAGGTGGTAGAGAGGAGGAGGAAAAGGAGAAAAAAGCCTGAAGGAAATGGAGAACTATGGAGAACACCACCATAGACATTCTACCTGGAAGGCACTTGCTTAAGCCTATGGAGATAAGAACACCAAGAAGGGCTTTGAAGCTTTCAGTAAAGATCTTCAGATAGGGATAGGTACCGTGGACAGATTACACCCATAATCGGTCTACTGCTTCAAAATTACGATCTCCGATAACTTTCCTTGATGAACTTCCGTGCCAGGAAACCTTAAGCTTAATGGGTTGTAAGTATGCTCTAGGTTTTTTGGGGGGAAGGGATGAGAAATTAAGAACTTGCCCATAAAGGTCTTAAGTACTTTTGTTGAGATGCAGGGTTAATCCTTAAAGATTAACATCTGCAAACTGAACTTATGACTCAATGATACAATAATTTCTGCCTGTACAGATGAAACATTTGCTTGGAACCCGATATGCAGTTCATTTGATCTCACTTGTTGACCTCAGGTAGGTATTAATATAGCATACCTGTCATTGGATTTATGGGGAGCATCAGTTCTCAGAGAAACGCAACGGTCTCGACATTTTCCAAGCCAGACATTTGACTGGTCAAAAATGGGTTATGTGTTCATTTGAAACAGCAGAAAATATTTTGCTAATAGTCAAATGGATATCAAATACTGAATTTTCACATCTCCTGGAAGGCAAGGCAAGTCTTAATCAACAAAAGGTAGCATACTTTCTCTCATACAGAAATATCCAAGGTGGCATTGGTATAAATGGAAATATCTTCATCAAGAGTGATGCTCATGTGGACATTGGCTGGGCTCTGAAAGCACTGACTGGGCTTTCAAACTTCTCAGTGGACCTCATCTCGCTCTCCATCAATGGTCAGTAGCTACTGGGTAAAAAAACAACTGCCTATGACTGACTTTAGGCCTGATGTTGGGTACAGGTGGGAGCGTACCTCTTTCCTTAAGTGCAACCTTCTGATTCTAGGTTCAAGGCTCAGTCTTCAGGTCTTTCCAGTTTCATTCTTGGTAACCAACAGAATATTCAATGAGAAGATGTTGGACCGTTCTTCTGTAGAACATCAGAACATTGCAAAGGATCTTTCTGATACAGTAGGCGAGATGAATGCTTGCTTGAAATCTAAATTCTTCCTTTACAAAATATATTGAAAATTCTTCTTGGTGCTTGGTACTGTAAATCTTAAAGGATGTACAGTAGGAGATTTCTATGCCTGTTTAAAACAGTAAAGGGTGTATAGTTTGTAAAGTCTGAAAGCAACCCATGCAAAGTTCTTTTTTAGTGCGGGTTGAAAAGAGAATGGTAGGAATTTTTTTCTAGTGAAGGAGGAGAGATCATGATTACTCATCTCTCTAATATTTCTGATGATGATGAAATGGAAGCTGTAGATCCCCTAGTCATGACTTGGAAATGCATGGGAGATCTAGCCCTGGGTAAGCAACTATAGATCATTCTGCTTTTTTTAAGTTCCAAAAGTATAAGGCAAGGGACATGGTGGAACTGGAGTAGTAAAGGGCAGGAATTATGAGAGGTATAACAGCTGAAAAAGTGATGGTAAGGCTAAGGAGGGCTCTGAAGTCTGGGCTCACCTTGTGAAAATGGTTGCTTTCCAGCTTACACGTATACTTGGCAAATATGAAAATCTCCTCCAAGTGGCAATCCGTAAGATCACGTAAGTTAACAGTGAACCATCTATCTTTCATAGCCTACTCATTAGGTAGCCTGTTACTAAGGACATCTAAGACAGGGAGGGACCACTTTTCCTTAATTTCGTGCCTACCAGTTAGGTTGGATTATGGCTTGCCAATTAGTAGCCTGGTCATACTGGTATCCAGCCTATATGGAGAGCTTCTCTTAGGGGGCTTCTTGGGGTCTAAGGTGAAGCCAT